CAATTTTAGTTGATTTTTGTATTTGGTGTGAGGTGTGGTTAAGCTTATTATTTATTTTAGTTTTTAGACAAAGCATTTCATTACAGCTTTAACGCACTCAATAACAGTTTCCAGAGCAAAGATACATCTCTTTCAAAAGTGGCTATACAATTTTTAGGTTCGCTGTTGAAATAATACAGTTATACAATATGGAACTCAGTATAAGCCCTGTAAGACATAAAATTGAATGAGTTTTTGACCTTTAAAAAAGATCTCCATTTCATTTTCATTTTAGAATATATTGTTCCTTGCAGACAGACTTATTGTTTTTGCTACTAACACTGAAATGTTGGTGCTTGCATCTCTACTCTGTATGTATCTGATTGTTACTAGTCATAATCGGTTGCACTTGGATCCTTGGCACCTGTGTATGTCTATAAAGTCATCAGGCAGATTTCAATGGTAAATTTCCATGCTTCCACCTCAAATATAATACACTTTTTATAAAAAATTCGTTGATTTTTTTTGTGTGTGTGTATATCACACAGAACATCCCAAACCACCTCATTCGACTATACACCCACTTCCCAGGTGGCACCCTCCTATAGCCTCCCTCCCCCCACCAGAGCCCTTATACTCTGATATCCCTTCTACTGTCTGCTGTGTTGTCGGCACCCCCAACCATTCCCCACTACTTGCCCTTCTGGTGACTCTAGTCAGCCTATGTAGAAGTCTTTGTTTTAGGAGGGTCAGCTGTTCCTCATCTAGCAGTAATCAGTTGTCAATATTCCTTTAGATAAGATTGGGGTCTGCTGTTCATTTTCCCACTTCTATCCTGGGTTATTATCTGGGAGTCCCTTTGGCCACCCTGGCCAACAACTCAAAAGAAGGTATTGCCTGTCTGGCATTCGTTTGTTATGTAGCCTTTAGCTGTGCATATGGACTCTTAAGAAATTATATTGGCCCCTTTAATCTTTAGTTATGCTTTCCTTTTGAGTGTTTAAGGCCATACAGTTGGTCCAGATAAACCAATTTATTTTTACTCTTAAGGTGGTTTGACGATCTGTTCCTCAGGGGTCGCATGGGCTTGGGAGGAGCCCCTAGCTCCTTTCTTTTACCAGTTCCACCTATGTGAAGATAAGTCAAAGGTCCTGCTCGACCATGGTTGGCTTCACTTGGAAGCATGGAGGAAATGATTCCGCTCTGTTGACCCTCCTCTTTATAGACCGGACACTGGTTCAAGTCCATCTGGCGGGGTCTCCTCGGCCTCCTTGATCAAGAGGACAGGTGTCCCACCATCATTATAGGACATTTTGAGAGATGCTCATAGTCCCCTGGAACTAGTCGACCTAGGAGGGCAAGGAGCAAAAACTGTCCTTTATGTCCCTCTGACCAATTATTATAGACCTCAAAGTATGTCTGTTAAACACCCAAGAAGGTTAGTTCCACCAGTCTGGTATTTTTAATTACTGTGTGTCATGTAGATAAATCTTTGCCAAAGATCAGTTGTTCTCTGATAAACCTTACCTAGACATATATTTCTTGATCTGCTATGTATAATTTATCAGTAGGTTGTAGGAGTAATATGGTTCTCTCTGGTTTTCAAAACTAGCTAGGCATTGTTTATCTCTTGCATTGTCTCACCCCTCCATCATGGTTTTCCCACTTAAGGTGCCCCATTTCCCCCCTTTCTCCCTTACTAATACCCTTCTCCTATGGTCCTACCTCTCTTAAGCTCCTTCTTTCCCTTTATCCCCTAGGTCCCTTGTGTATTCTTCCCTCCCTTTTATGTGTCTTGCCTACATATATGTATATGCATCATGTGTGTGCCTCGTAACTGAGGAGGTCAGAAAAGGGTGTTGGATCATTTGGAACTGAAGCTACAGATGGTTATTAGCTGCCACATGGGTGCTAGGAACTGTACCTGGGTCCTCTGGAAAGCAGCAAGAGCTCTTAACCACTGAGCCATTTTTTCCAGCATTGAGAGTTGTTCTTAGAAGCAATATTCTAGGTTTTGGGGGTTTTTTTACTTTTTTTTTTTTTTTTTTAAAGACTAGCACAGGGACTGTTGGTAAAATGCAGTATGGCACTCTCATGGCAAATAAGAAGTATTAGAACCTGGGGTGCAGCTCAGTGACAGAACACTTGCCTAGCAAATGCAAAGCCCTGGGTTTGAGCCCCAGTATTTTTAGGGGAGCAGGAGGAAGACATGAATTTAGACAGTGGAAAAGAATCAAGGAAATGTACTCAGGTGACAAGGAAATCGTTTAAGAACCAAACTAAAAATGAATGGCAACTCTTGAGGACCAGAACTCTTGAGAAACTTTTTTTTTAAATGTGTATAGTAAGGTTTTACAATGGCCAGGAATCCACTGGGCCTAAGGACTTGGGGCCAGCGTGGCCTCAGATGCAGTGACCCCTGGAAACAGACTTCCCATACTGACATGCCCTCCATTGCTTCCTATGGGATCTGCCCTCTTAATGGAGAGAGTAGCGCTCAGAGCTTGATCTACGAGGAGGCCTCCCTCAAAGAGGGACTGCTGAGGGCTGAGCTAGCCCCACCGTCTCAGGCATGATTTGTAACAGGTAGCGATGTAGTATGAATCAACTTTTTAAGCATTTTAAACTTTTCAATTATGCAGATTAAATGAGCATCCAAGCAGCCACTGGAGTCCACAGCTGAGTTATTTTGAGTATCGAAGGTTACTGCGGAACCTCACAGCCCTCCGGATCCGAGCTACATATGGAGAATACAGTAAGGACCAGGAGAGAGGAACTTCCATGGTCTTCCGTTTTCTCTTTATTTGCTTCAGTGCTCTCGGGTGGCAGCAGGCACAATCAAGTACAACAGATGGTTTCACTGAGATTCCCTGTTTTTATATTCCCTTTTTTGAAATTACCATCTTGGGCTTTCTAATACCACCTGGAGTTATTTAAAGGAGAACTCCTTAAGCTTTAACATGTGTCAAAAGAAGCATGGCTGTCCTGCACCATTTCCAGGTCACCAGTGCAGCAAATACAGCAGGATATAGGAATGATGCTGACCAGCCGTGTGTTGAATTGTCACTGTCTGCCAGGTGCCTATGATTGTGCCATTCTACGTAATTCTCACAAGACAACGAAATACAACACTCCTCTTCTAACTAAGGAAACATGTCTGTAGGGGTCAAGGGATTTGCCAGATGCACACAGCTAATGTGGATCCAGCTGAACAGAATTTAAATCATAATTTTCCCAACTCCAGAGGACCCACACTAGATTGCTATGGCTGTCCGTGTACCATAGTGTGTGAAGAAAATAAAATTGGGCCTGGCTGGCCTTGAACTCACTGTGGTAAACCAGGCCTGCCTTGAATTTGCATAGAGCCTCCTGCCTCTGCCTCCCAGAGTGCTGAGACTGCAGGCATGTGCCAGCACTGTCAGCTGGGATTTTAGACCCTTAGACCTTACCCTTGCTACTTCTGACGTCTGCTTTCTATTGCAGGTACAGGGTACCTTGACAATGTAACCCTGATTTCAGCCCGCCCTGTCTCAGGAGCCCCAGCACCCTGGGTTGAACACTGTGTATGCCCTGTTGGGTACAAGGGACAGTTCTGCCAGGATTGTGCTTCTGGCTACAAAAGAGATTCAGCAAGACTTGGGCCTTTTGGCACCTGTATTCCCTGTAATTGCCAAGGGGGAGGAGCCTGTGATCCAGACACAGGTGAGTCAAATGACACCTCCACCAGAGGGCTGGGGATAGAGTCAGGTGCCTGGGTCTCCTGGGGAAGCAAGAACTGAGTAAGAAATACCATCTCTGAACTCATTCTGGAGATGAGAAAGGATTTGACAGTGTGGGACTGAGGTCAAGGAAGATGGACATAGTATAGTGCCTTAGTCTATTCAACCCTTTTTACTATGGAAATGCCATGAGGTTGTGAGAAAGATGCCAGGTTACAAGAAATGACTGTCATGGTTCAGTGCAAGTTGGGGGAATTGGTGTCAAGTTGCCAGAACTATGTGGGGAGATCAAAGACAAGTCAGGGTGTCAACTGTGGAGGACAGGTGCACCGTGTTATGCCACTGACAGTAAAGGAAATGTGTATCTATTGAGCACAGAAGCGTGAGGGTAAGATTCAAGGTGGTGGCCATGTTTAGATTTGATACAGGGCAGGGTGAATGTCTTCGAGAAGTCTTGAGGTTCTATACTCTGATCCCCACATTGAAGGAAATGTGTTGTCTGACCCTGTCATTTCTCTCTTCCACATCCCAGGAGATTGCTACTCAGGGGATGAGAATCCTGATGTCGAGTGTGCTGATTGCCCCATCGGTTTCTACAATGATCCACATGACCCTCGCAGCTGCAAGCCATGCCCCTGTCACAATGGGTTCAGCTGCTCAGTGATGCCTGAGACAGAGGAGGTGGTGTGCAACAACTGCCCCCCTGGAGTCACTGGTAAGGCTATGGGTCTGCTCTTCAGTCAGCTTTTCCTGGCCCTGATGCTATGTATCTGTGTAAATAGCTTCCATTCCAGAGAATTTCCGGGAAACTATAATTCAGTTAATCTAAATGCATGCATTCTAAAGAATATTGTGGTGCCCAAGTGGTGATGTGGATTGAGTTAGGTGAAGGAAATGCATAGTGCCGTGTTTTATTGAGAGTCTTGTGTATTTAGGGGGTGAAATTTTCAGACATGATCTGAGTTTTTTTCTTCCATCTTTCCTTCCTTCCTTCCTTTCTTCCTCTCTCTCTCTGTTTCTCTCTCTGTCTCTGTCTCTCTCTCTCTCTCTCTCTCTCTCTCTCTCTCTCTCTCTCTCTCTCTCTCTCTCTCTCTCTCTCTCTCTCTTTTTTTTTTTTTTTTGATTTAATTAAAAAAAAAAATGTGTATGTGTGAGTATATGCACATGAATGCAGGCACCCATGGAGGCCAGCAGAGGGCAGCCAGCAGAGGGCATCAGATCCCCTGGAGCTGGAGTTACAAGCAGTTGTGAGCTGCCAGATGAGGGTGCTAGGAACTGAACATGGGTCCTATGCAAGAACAGCAAGCAAGTGCTCTTAACCACTAAGTGCTCCCCAGCCCTGGATCTTAAATTCTTGGTCCTCATGCCTCCCCCTCCCAAATGCTGGGATAATTGGTGTGTGCCACTTGCCCAGTTTTATGTAGTGCTGGATATCAAACCCAGGACTTCATGCATGCTCAGTGTATTAGTTACTTTCTTTTGCTGTGATAAAATACTATGATCAGTGGCAATTTAAGGAAGAAAGTTTATTTTGGCTTATGGTTCCAGAGGATTGGAGTCCACAAGTTGGGGGAGGTGTGACAGTAGGCTGCCAGAGCAGGAAGCTCAGCGCTCATGTCTTCAAATGCAAACATGAAGCGGAGAGTATAAACTGGAAGTGAATGAGGCTATACACTCTCAAAGCCCACCCCCAGTGACATATTTCCTAAAGCCCCCCCCCCAACAGTGCTGCCAACTGGTGACCAGTTGTTCAAATATCTAAACCTATGGGGGACATCGTTCATTCAAACTACTATACTAGGCAAGCACTGTACCATCTGAGTTACACGCCCCCCCAGTCCTCGTTTAAGTTATTTTCTGATGAACTAAGATAAAAAGGAAAACTCAATGACCTCTTAGTATTATATCCCTCTTCAGTCTGAAGGAAGAACCAAGTATTCTGCAGCAACCTTGATGATATCAATTGAAACCTCACTGATCCTGCATGTCTGATAGGTTTTACCCAGCCAGCTAATTAAGCCTCTTGTTGGTGCTGCAATGTTCTAAATCTGTGGTGACCATGACCATGGAATGACAGCACCAACCTGTGCCACATGCACCTGCTCCTGAAGGGTACTGATCTGAGGTCCCGGGAACAGTACATTTGCCTGGGTCTTCTAATTCTGCGTCTGGTCCTACTGCCAGTAGGTGACATCTGTGTTGACCACATCTTCCTTTCTTCCTTCCCAGGGGCCCGCTGTGAGCTCTGTGCTGATGGTTACTTTGGGGACCCCTTTGGGGAACGTGGTCCAGTGAGGCCTTGTCAGCGCTGCCAATGTAACAACAATGTGGACCCTAGTGCTTCTGGGAACTGTGACCAGCTGACAGGCAGGTGCTTAAAATGCATTCACAACACAGCTGGCATCTACTGTGACCAGTGCAAAACAGGTTACTTTGGTGACCCATTGGCTCCCAACCCAGCAGACAAGTGTCGAGGTAGGACTACACCCCAGACAGATCCTCTATCCCCCTGCTCGCGTGCGTGCGTGCGTGCATGCGTGCATGCGTGTGTGTGTACCTGCTCATATGAGCTTACTAGAGATTGTGTGTGGACCAAGGAGAGGGCAAGGGCAGTTAATATTGTGAGGCAGCTTTGGTTTCTTGACCAGACTGGCTTATAAACAGCCTGCACCTTTCACCTGTCAGAAGCCTTAAGACAAATCTCCCTTGCCCCAGACTCTGGAAGCCAAGATGAAGGCTCTCAAATGGTTAAAGCTGAGTGGGAGAAGGGGAAAAGGTCAGGTTTACATTCCTCAGTGGAAGAGCAGATAAAACAGGGCCACATCCTATGCCCAACCCCAAGGCAGGTAGGCAGGAAAGTGGCTGCCAGACCTGTCACAGGAGGGTAATAAACCACTCACAGCTGAGCCTGAACAAACTGAAGTGGTGAGGGGGCAGGTTCTGAAGGAACTTATGATACCCTTTCAGGAAGTCAGCCTAATTGATGCATAGATGACCATTGAAAGTTCTGAGGAGACAGCTTCAAAGCATTGGCTATCACAAGCTGCTAAGGGCTGCTTCAGATCAAAGCATGAGATGCAGGTGCGTCCCTGCTCAGCTCTTCTCTCAAACTTTACCATGTGTCATAATCCAGAGACACATCCAACCCTTATGCACAAAGGCCCCAGATGACCCTGGTGCCTGGCACTTACAGGTGTCTGTTATCAGATCATCGCAAGAGAATGTCTGCCTAGAGATATCTGAGGACTTCTGTGCAAACTGGGGCTTCTACCCAGAGACATGAATGCTTTGAGGATTCCTGGGCTAGCCCAGCCCTGACTCCTACCGCAGGGTCAGCTGGGGTATGCTGGAAAGCACCACATATAGGAAGAGCCTACGTGACAGTAGTTAACGGTACTAAGTTCAAGTACAGTGTTGTAACATGCCTATTGTAACGGGCTGGGTATTCCAGTTCATGCCTCTGAGCCTCAGTTTCTTCACATGTGTGAGTAATATTTAACTTAAAGTGGTTGCAAGGATCAAATAAAATGGTAGGCAAAAACACTGTAAATGCTATAATTCTAGACCAGGTGTGGTGGCTTGTGCCATGGAGCCAGCACTTGTGAGGCTAAAGCAGAAGGATCCTGAGTTTGAGGTCAGCCTGAGCTATAAAGCAAGACCTTGTCTCAAAAAACAAAGTAAAAGCAAAAACAAAAGTCAGAGAGAAGGCTCAGTGGTTAAGAGCACTGGCTCTTGCCATCTACATGCAGTTTGAACCTCAGTACTAAAGTTGCAATGATGAATAAGTCCTAGCTTCCAAAGAGGATGCTAAAAAGGAAGAGGCATGAAAAGTATGTGCAAGTAATGATAAACCACTTAACTATGTGAGACACTGAAGCTAGAGCAGCCCAGAGAATCACTATGATCATCAGCAGTGTCTGACCCAGTGGCACATCCTGCCTCCTGAAATGGAACCTGTTGCACAGTAGGGCCCTATGCCTAACATGATTGAGTGAGCAGCGGTACTGCCTTCTTACCACCTTGCTGCTACGGAAGGAGAGGCACACTGGCTCTTCTGAACTCTCATCGCGACGTCTCATTTATTTGCTTTAGGACCTTGAGCAAATTTTTCAACCTCTCAGCTCACATTCCTCATCTGTAAAACAGAGAGCTATGTTTACATCTAGTTCAAAATAGGCCCTAAGGAAATGCTATGTACCTTGTTAGCAGAATCAGAGTACTGTCAGAATACCCGTAGACTTACAGTTTAATGAGAGGAAGCGGGTGAATTGTCCTACCAGTCCTTCATTCACATGACACACACCAAACACACTTGCATGGGACTCATGGGGCCTGCTTGTATAGGAATGTGCCTGAGGCCACAATCAGGGGATGAATCTGACACGGTATGCGTGATGGGGGCAAGAGACTTGATCTTTTTCCTTGCTGTACTTCCCATTTCTGGGATTAGTTGGGTGGGAATGCTCCATTTGTTTGTGCCTTATCTCTAGCTTGCAACTGCAACCCCATGGGCTCGGAACCTGGAGAGTGTCAAAGTGACGGCAGCTGTATTTGCAAGCCAGGCTTTGGTGGTCTCAACTGTGAGCATGCAGCACTAATAAGCTGTCCAGCCTGCTACAATCAAGTGAAGATTCAGGTATGCTCGCTTCTCCATCCCAGCCTCCAACCTCAGATCCTGAATGGCTGTGTGTCCTGGCTCTGTCACAGGTCTGGAGCCCCCCCAATTTCATAGGGATGGAGTGGAGGTTACTATCTTTAAATTTTTATATATAATATATATTATTTATATATATACAAGATTATATATATATATATATATATATGAGTGGTGAGATGGCTCAGTGGGTAAACGTGCTTGGTGTACAAGCCTGACAACTGCAGTTCAAATGTCAGAACCCACATAAAGGTGGAAGGAGAGAACTGATTCCACAAAATTGTTCGCTGACATCCACACACATGCCCTGGCACTTGTATACATGTGTGCACACATATATGCCAATATTAGTAATAAATAAAAATTTAAAAAATCATACTAAAAGATTCTGTCTAATAGTATTACAAGTTTACATTTTTAATAAAATGTTTATTTTCATTTTATATGTATAAATATTTTTGCTTATGTGTATGTAAGTGCACCCATGTCATGCAATGCTCGTGGAGGCCAGAAGAGGTCATTGGAGCCCCTGGAACTGGAGTCAAGGATGGTTGTTAGCTACCACGTGGGTGCTGGGAACTGAACCTGGGTTTTCCACAAGAGCAGCCAGTGTTCTTAACCACTGGGCTGTCTCTTCAGGTTTACATTCTTATATATACTGTTTTTAAAATTCCTCTTGCAAGCTGCGCGTGGTGGTGCACTCCTGTAGTCCCAGCACTTGGGAGGCAGAGGCAGGTGGATCTCTGTGAGTTCAAGGCCCGCCTGGTCTAAATAGTGAGATCCACGAAAGCTGGGGCTAAAGGGAGACACTGCTTTTTAAAAAAAAAAAAAAAAAAAAAAAAAAAAAAAAATTCCTCTTACAGACACTGTCTCTTTTGATATTCATGTCAACTTAGTTAACCTGGAAAAAGACTATTCTAAACTCAGTTTTCTTCCCCTCCACCCCCACACACTTAATCACACTTAATTTCTTTTCTTTTTAAAGACATGGTATCACTCTACACCTCTGGCTGACTGGGAAGTCCCTACTTGGACCAGGCTGGCCTGAGACTCACAGTGATCCACCTGCCTCTGTCTCCCTGAGTACTGGGAGTAAATGTGTGCCTGGCTGAACTCAGTTTTCATGGCCAAACAGCCTCAATAATGCTTGTGATTTTTCAAAGTGGCCAGGCTAGGTAGGACAGGACTGTCACTCATGTCCCCCAAAACCTAAGTCCAATGCTCTTGCCAACTGTAACATGCCACTTTCCAGCTTGGTGCCCTCCTCCTCGAGAGATATCCTTATAAAGTACATGCTGGAGCACATCACTATGGTTCGCATGTATAATCCCTACTATGCAGGAGGCTGAGACTGTTGCCTAGAGTTTGAAGCCATCCTGGGCTGAATAGTGAGTTCCAGACCAGCCTGGGCTACAGAGTAAGACCCTGTCTCAAAAAATAAAACAATAAAATTTAAATTTAAAATTCAGAGAAGAATGAGTTCAGTGTTGTTAATTATTGATTATTCTTTTCTAGAGGGAGCAAGGTGGCCCAAATTGGACTTCATATGTAGAATACAGTCTGGTTTATTTTATTTTATTTTTTATTTTTGGCCTTTTTGAGACAGAGTCTCCCTGTAGCCCCAGCCGTCCTGAATCTCACAGAGATACACCTGCCTCTGTCCCCAAGTACCACCATACCTAGGCTCAGTTTGTTTTTTAAATTAACTTACTTAATGGCCTGGGGGGAAGGGAAGGTGAGTTTGAGATAGTATCTCATATAACTCAAGCTATCCTTGAACTCTCTATGTATCTCAGGATGATCTTGAACTCCTGATCCTCTTGCATCTACCTGCCTAATGCTGGGATTACAGGCATGTACCACCCCCTCTTGCTAAAAGTTAGATATTTTATTTTCATTTTGTGTGGTACTAGGGATTGAACCTCATGTGTACTAGGCAAGGACTCTAGTGCTGCACTGTATCTCTAGCCCTTAAATAGCCCTTTACAGCACTTTATTGGTGCCAGGCTCTGTTGTAAGCACTTTACAAATATCAGCTCATTTAGCACCAGAAATAACCATATGAACGGCATTATTCTTATCACCTCTATTTTATAGATAAGAAAAATGACTTGCTAAGGTCCCGTGGCTAGAGTAGTGGGCCAGGATTCACAATCAGCAAGTCTAGGTTCTAGAGTCTACATTTTCAGTCACTGTGACAAACCTAGCATGTCTAGCTGTTGGCCCCTGGGCACCTGCTGTAACCCCTGGTGTTGAGCCATGCCCCAACCCTGTTCTGATACCCTTTCCTGTGCTTTCAGATGGACCAGTTTACACAGCAGCTTCAGAGCCTGGAGACTCTGATATCAAAGGCTCAGGGTAGTGGGGGAGCAGTCCCCAGTGCAGAGCTGGAAAGCAGGATGCAACAGGCTGAGGAGGCCCTTCGGGACATTCTGAGAGAAGCCCAAGTTTCAGAAGGTGAGGAGGGCCAACTTCCTATCAGCTAGGAGGAGTCACATCCCAGAAAGAATTGCAACATCAGGTCAGGCCATCAGCTCTGCAAGTGTTTCCAGCCAGCCTTTGTGGTGGTGGAGGGAAAGGATAGGGGGAGGGTGGACAGAGGGGACATGGGACCCTCTGTGACATTCCCTTGGGACCTGAACAACAGAGGTTAAAGACAGTCACAACACATTTGTCTCTGGGGCTTTTCTCCTTTTGCCATTAATTAGTCAACTTCAATAATAGCCCAATCATTCTGTGTTCAGCCTCACTTTTCTTCTTTGTGTGCAGGTGCTAGGAGAGCCCTTAGTCTCCAGCTGGCCAAGGTGAGAAGCCAAGAGAACAGTTACCAGAACCGTCTGGAAGACCTCAAGATGACCGTGGAAAAGGTTCAGGCCCTGAGCACTCAGTATCAGAACCAAGTTCAGGATACAAGCCGGCTCATCTCTCAGATGCGCCTCAGCCTGGAGGAAAGTGAAGCTTCCCTGGGAAACACCGTATGTCTGGCTGGGTTTGGGTGTTATTTGCTGCTGTGTTGGGTGATGCCCCCTTGGTCTCACTGGCTTACGTTCTATCTCTGAGTTTTTTGATCTACCTGGCAGGTAGTTGGACCGCTCTTCTTTGCAAAAGGCTTAACTATCCTTTGTGCCCTTGGCCTCCTGCAGTTTCCAGTGGAACTGCATTATGCTCTCCTCTCTAGTTTATTTATTATAGCCACATTCTTACCTTAGTCCCTCCTCTCCTCCTTTCTTTCTACAGGATTTAGTTTGTTTATATTTGTATTCTCAGCCCCCAGTATACTATATGGCTACTGTATTTGTCTGCTGCATAAATGAATGAATTAATAAAGGAATGAATAAATGAATGAGTGAAAAAAGGAATGAAAAAAGAATGAGGAAAGAAAGAAGGAAAGCAGGCAGAAAGGAAGGAGTCTGGTAAAGATGTAACTTTGAAATGAAAAAATAAGTTCTTGCCAGTATAATCAGCACAAACTCCTGCTGAGTTTGCAGTCTGATACAATCAAGTCCTCTTCCATTTATGAGTTTTAATGCTGTGGTATAGCTGGGCTTAGTGATAAGAATGCCTGCAATCCCAGCACTCAGAAGGCTGAGGCAGGAGAATAGCAAGTTTAAGACCAGACTTCTCTATATATTGAGTCTGTGGCCATCCTGGGCTACTAAGACCATAGCTCAAACCTAAACCAGCCAAACAAAAAGGCTATAATGACAATAACATAGTGGAATGAGTGGAGCTGAATAGAGAAAATTGAGCTGAACTCAGTGGAGGCAGGAGATCAGGAGTTCAAGGTCAACCTCTGCTACTTAGAAAATCTTGGGCCAGCCTGGACTATATGATGCCCTGTTTTACAACAACAACAAATTAAAAATTAAAAAGGAAATTGGAAGATAATCAGATTATAATGAAAAAAATATATTAAAAGTGTTTCATAGTCCCAGCACTTGGGAGCCAGAGGCAGGCGGATCTCTGTGAGTTCGAGGCCAGCCTGGTCTACATAGTGAGTCCCAGGACAGCTGGGGCTACAGGAAGACCCTGTCTCAAAAAGACCAAAAAAAAAAAAAAAGTTTCAATTTTTATTTTGTAGAAAATAACCTTCTCATACCCATGAGCCAATTACTACTAAATAACTACCATTAAAGCTTGGTATATTGGGGCTGGAGAGATGGCTCAGCAGTTAAGAGCACTGACTGTTCTTGCAGAAGACCTGGGTTCAAATTCCAGCACCCCATGGCAGCTAACAAATGTCTATAACTCCAGTTCCAGGGGACCCAACAGCCTCTTCTGTCCTCTGTGGGCAATGCATGACATGGGTGCACTCACCTACATGTAGGCATAACACTCATACACATAAAATAAAAATAATAAAGAAAAAAATAAAGAAAAAGAATAAGTAAAATATTTTTTTAAAAAAAACAAACTTGGTATATTGGCCTGGGAAGATGGCTCAGTGGATAAAGTGCTTGCTGAGAAAGCATAGGGATTCGAGTTTAGATCCCCAGAACCCACGTAAAAGCCAGGTATGGTGGTGCATGCCTATAACTCCAGTGCTGGGGAGCAAAGACAGGAAGACCCCAGGGGCTCACTTGCCAGCCAGTCTAGCTAAAATAACAAACTCAATGTTCAGTGAGAAACCCTGTCTCAAAAACTAAAGTGGAGTGAGAAAGAGCCTGACACCAACCTCTGGCCTTTACACATGCGTGTATGAGCAAGCACACACATACACACTCAAATAAAATAAACCTTGGTATATAGCCTATTAGACTTTAAGTACACATAAACATATATATCTATGTGCAATCTATATGTAATTTTTGAGACAGAGTGTCACAATGTAGCCCAGCCTGGCCTCAATTTCATCATCTTCCTGCCTCAGCCCCCCAAGTACTGGTATTAGAAGCATGTGCCACAAAGCCTGACAAATATGCATATACGTTTAAATGCATCTATGTCTTTCTGTAGGCTTATTTTAAATTGGATGCCTACCCTGTTCTTGCCCATACACACTTGGTGACTAGGGACATTTGGTATGTCAGGGTAGGGAATCCTACGTGACTAGTGAAAAGTATTTTTGACTCGTGTTTAGGCTCCATAGTCAAATGTAAAACCTTAACCAATTCTCCTTTTCCACAGAACATTCCTTCCTCAGAACACTATGTGGGGCCAAATGGCTTCAGAAGTCTGGCTCAAGAGGCTACAAGGTTGGCAGACAGGTAAGCAGCAGGGTTTGGCAGCTCTGCTCCAGGCCACCTCTGCAAGGCCCACTTGGAACAGCACTGTAGAACTCTCAGGACCCATGTACTAGATTAACTCCCTCAAGGCTCCTCTCAGCCTTCCCCTGCCTTGAAGCCAGTTTTGAGCCACTTGGGAGTGGACACTGAACAGGGTCCTTTGGCAGGAGTTGGGGGTAGAAGTGTACCTCTCTCATCTTTCTCTATGGCTCACAGTACATCTTTGGTGCATGTCAGATGTGATTCCTCTGTCCATATGAGATGAGTCAGCTTCTGGAAAAGGCTGTTTGCAGCCTTCAGGGACTCCTCGACTCTCACACCAAGCCTGGGAAGAAGTAGCAATAAGTTGTTTGCCTGCCTGTAGGGGCCAAGTATGCTGAAAGGAACATCCTCCTGGAAACCGGCTCTGTAGGACCCCAGGGATGACAGGCAGCTCCGTTGGTCCTCGCTTTTGACAATAAATCCTATCACATTCAAAATTTGCTTGGCAGGATGGCAGGCTCTGTTAATCCCAAGTGGAATTTAGTCAGCAGAGGTGGGGTGACTTGTGATTTTGTAGCATGAGCTCCTTCAGCCCCTGTTTTTGTTGGTTTAATTTTTTAAATATATTTATTTTTATTTTATATGTATGAGTCCTTTGCCTGCATGTGTCATGCAATTACACCTGTGTCATGCAGTGCCCACAGAGGTCAGAAGAGGATGTCAGAGCCTCTGGAACTGACGTTATGGATGGTTGTTAGTGCTATGATTCACACCCAGGTCTTCTACAAGAGCAGCCAGTACTCTAAACAGCTGAGCCATCTTTCCAACCCCTGTTTCTGTTATTTTAATATCATTTTCTAGAGCCAGGAGAACAGAAACTTTTAGGAGACTTATTGACAGACTTTGTCCCCTTAGCTGTAGGCCTGATTCCAAGTTTCAGTAAAATAATCAGGGAGTTAGTCTCTCCATGAAATAGACCTCAGGGTTCTTCCTATAGAAAACGGCTTATAGATGCAATGGTTTGCCACTCTGAGACTACTCCCATCTGTTCCCCACATGCCTCCTCCGAAATGCAATGAATGCAGATGACCACTGAAGACTGGGTCGTGAGGTGTGTTCTCCAGCATACCTGTTTCTTGGTAGTTACTCTAATTCCATCTAGTCTGACTCAGTTCTGTTTGGCCTTTATAAGCCAAATCTGTTCTCTTATTATTTTCTCTATAACTACAAGAAAGATTTGTGTTATTAACCTATGCTAATTTTTCTATGAAAATGCTAATTCTTTGTTTCTAATGTCTTCAGCCATGTTGAGTCAGCCAACAACGTTGAGCAACTAGCAAGGGAGGCTGAGGACTATTCCAAACAAGCATTATCACTGGCCCGGAAGGCTCTGAGTGGAGGAAGCGGAAGCGGCACCCCAGACAGCTCTGTGGTACAAGGGCTTATGGGAAAGTATGTTTCAATGGGTCCTCATCTGGGTCCTACATTTATAACACAAACTATACTTAAGGAGCACCATCTTTCTTTGAAAATGTGTATTTGTAATAATAAGAGGACAAGAGACCATTACTTTGGGAAAAGTAAATATCTTTAATATTGAAAGAAGAAAGGTTGATATCTAAGTAAAATTTATATTTTAACTGAGATAATAAGACTTGGAGAGATGGTGGCTCTCTATGGTATTTGAAGGGTATGTGTGTGTAAACCCATTTGACACACTGGAGGGCATAAGAACACATTTATCAGAAGTTGGGAAGCTGGAGTTGAATTTTTCTGACCCTACTTAATACAAGCTAGAAGGCTTATGTTTAGATTGTGGAGAGGGTCATATATCTAATGTATAACCTCGTTTGTTTGTTCTGGTTATTCCAAATATACAAAACAAAATTGTTTTGAGGCAGGGTCTCACTATGTAGCCCTGGCTGGCCTAGAACTCAGAGATCCATCTGCCTCTGCCTCCCAAGTGCTGGGATTAAAGGCATGTGCCACCACGACTGGCCCAACTACATTTTTAAAACAACAGGATGAATTTTTGTGCACCTGTAACCCTATGCTCAGAAGCAGGGCAGGAGGACTTCAATAAATTCCAGGCCAGCCAAGGCTACATAGTGGGACCCCATCTCAAAAAGAAAAAAAAGTAAGTTCTCAAAGTGTTCTCTCTCATTTTTCAGCCATCTCCTTTTCCTCCCCACAGATTAGAGAAAACCAAATCCCTGGCCCAGCAGTTGTCAAGGGAGGCCATACAAACTGACATTGAAACAGACAGAGCTTATCAGCATGGTCTCCATCTTCTGGATTCAGCATCTCAGCTTCAGGGAATCAGTGATGGATCCTTTCAGGTGAGATCATTAAGCCTGTGCTTGATGTACAAACAGCCATGAAAGTATTCTTTTCTAGTGATTTCATAATATTTTTCAACTATTCAACTAGCATTTTCTCCATGTTGAGTATGTTAGTATCATATTACTACCATGAACCATCTAAGACAACTAACTTAGCAAGAGAGGTTTCTTTAGCTCAGTATTTTAGAGGTTCAAAAGCAGAGTGCCTGCACTGGCTCTGGTCAGTGAGGGTGGAGGAAGGCTGTCTCAGTAGGAACAGAGAGAAAAGGATGGATAGGTTTGCACAATTCTTTATGAGACCACATCCCTAATGGTTTAAAGATCTCTTACTAGCCCTCACAAAGGCTTCGTATACCCCCAAGAGTACCACTGTAACAACCAAACCCTTAACATGTGAGTAATTACCCACATTCAGACCATAGCAGGGGCTCTTTTTGTTTTGTGGTAGGAAGGATATTTGTGTTTCTCATCCTTTTCCTTATTCTTAAAACTGAATCCTACTCGCTGAAAGAAACTTGGATGCTTCACCCTGAACCTGTTAGTAGAGAGAAGTTTTATATCTCCCCCTCAATTATGGGGATTTTCAAATTGAAACCAGTGGGGAATTATTATGTAGTTTGATGCTTGTACTGCCAACAAAACTTTTGCTATTGAAAGATTTGCATTTTTTTTTCCCTGTCATCAATCTCCTTAACTATTGTAGCCTTGTTGGCTTTGAAAAATTCGGCATGGGGCTGGAGAGATGGCTCAATGGTTAAGAGAACATACTGTTCTTCATGAGGACCCAAGTTCAGTTCCCAGCACACACATCAGGTGGCTTACAGTCACCTATAATTCCAACTCCAAGGGGGATCCAATGCCTCTGGCCTCTGTGGGTACCCACATGCATACATAATTAAAAATAAAATAAATGCTTTAAAAAGTCTTTGAAGATCAAGGCTAAGGTCACAGGTGATTAGGGTGTCATGATACATCTGACTTGTGTCAGTCAGGCACGAGAAGAAAGACGCAGAAATGAGTGGCACTGCCTCACAATATTCCATTTTATACCTATAGCAAAAGGGACTCAAAGTGATTCCCATGGAGATATGTTCCATGAATATATAAGCTAATTATTTGAAGAAATTTTTTAAAGAACAGAAACAAAACTTCTTGGCTTATTGGGAGACCTGCTGCCTAACTTCCATGGGGTACTCTCTCTCATTTCTGGGAGGCCTTGGGCCTGGATAGTTAGTGTCTACTTTCTTCTCAAGGCTGGTGCTATTTCCAAATGATGATACCAGGTCCTGAAGCTGGTGTGGTCACTGGTGAGCAGAACGTCAGACTCATTCATTTCTTTGAGCCCACAGGTGGAAGCAAAGAGGATCAAACAAAAAGCTGACTCGCTCTCAAATCTGGTGACCAGACAAATGGATGTGTTTACACGTGTGCAAAACAATCTAGGAAACTGGGAAAAAGAAACCCAGCAGCTCTTACAGAATGCAAAGAATGGGAGACAGGTACCCTTTGTTAATTTGTTCAGTCAGTCAATAAGCATGTGCCGAACACCTGCTATGTGAATAAGACCGGCCAGAAGAGCCACCAGAAACTCTGAAGGCCACGGTGTGACTGGTTACAGAGAGAGCGACTAAGACTCCACTCTTGATGGAATTAGCCAGACACACTGAGTCAACATTCAAACCTAGGAATAGGACCCAGGCCTTCTATATCTAATTTTGGTCTAAGTCTGTCTACTAGCTTAGCTTCAGGAAGTATCTAGAGTTTAAAATTATGATTTGTAAACTACCTCCATCCCTGATTGTGGACTAGAGTTGAAGACTTTCCTCTAAATGGCATATGTTGTTGGCTTATAAATCACTCCAGCACCTCTAGATGCTGTGGTGATTCACAGCACTGAGTTGTCACAGAGAAATGTGTCAGGGTGATTTTGCTAACAGGAATGCACTTGCTCTAATCTTGTTCTGTCTATTTACAGACATCGGATCAGCTGCTTTCCCGTGCCAACCTTGCTAAAAGCAGAGCCCAAGAAGCACTAAGTATGGGAAATGCCACTTTTTATGAAGTTGAGAGCATCCTGAAGAACCTCAGAGGTTAGTGCAGTGTGGTTCAGGTTGACAATTTTAGAGGTACACTCATGACTCATTTGGTTTAAGCCCTCGCATATCTCCTTAAGTGGTATGTGTATTGGGGTATTATTAGATACTTAGTCAATATCTTTTTAAGGTTAAAAAAACAGTGTCATTCAGAATTGACGTAGGAAGTGGAAACAGTCAAACCAGATGTCAGAGGCATGAGTTCTGATCCTTGCTGGGCCATATCAGCAGATGAAGCTTACTGTGTGACTATAAGCAAATCACACAGCTCTCTAGATCCATACATCCTCTTTAAGGGGAACAAGTGATCTCTCAGGTCCTTCACAGATCCAATATGTCAGTACTGTGTAGATATTTTCCTTTTCTTCTGCAGCCTGTGTGGTCTCACTATGGAACCAGTATGGTTGCTCTGAGATAATATTCTGCGTCTCAGGAGATTTGGGTTGTGCCTTGAAGAAATTTGTTTCAAATTTCAGTATTCTTCACTAACAAATGAAAGAGAAGCATTCTCAAAGTTTTGAGATTTTCTTCATAAAAAGTCCCTCTCTACCCACTGTACCTGCGCCCTGACTCTTGCCACAGGCAGCTTAGGGCTTCAGGCTCAGGCTTAGAGCTTTTGGCTTTAGAGATTTACCTGCTTTTCAGCCACTGTGGGTGTTGATATTCTTGCAGAGATGAGGATCCAGGGGAAGCTGGCTGTCAGTGGCCTCTCCAGTGCCTCCTTTGAGATACTTTCTCTTTGGAAAGAAAGAGTAATCCCAGCCAAAATTTCCCATACCTCCACCACCCAGTCATGATGAATTTTTCATAGAAACAGCAGCTTCCCTCATTCATCTGTAAGTTAGTCTTTCATCTTTGTAGCAATTTTCTTTTTCTTCCTTTCAGAGTTTGACCTACAGGTCGAAGATAGAAAAGCAGAGGCCGAAGAGGCCATGAAGAGACTCTCCTTTATTAGCCAGAAAGTTGCAGATGCCAGTGACAAGACCCAGCAGGCAGAAGTGGCCCTGGGGAGTGCTGCTGCTGACGCCCAACGGGCAAAGAACGCGGCTAAGGAGGCCCTAGAGATCACCAGCGAGATAGAACAGGTAAAGAAAAATGGATGTGCAGGCTGCCACAGGCAGCACCCAGCATGGCGGTGCTGTGGGAGAGAGAGGTTCGGGCTCACCTCCATCGGACAGCTCCGAGTCTTGTGTGTTCCCCAGCAGCCCCAGACCCACAAGCCCATCCTTTGGCTGGATTCAGTCCCTGACTAATTCAGTCCCTTCTGGACAGCACCATGAGAAGAACCATCCACAACTAGTTATTATAGAAATCATGGTATTCATTTTCTAGGGCTGCTATAGCAAAATACCATAAACTGGGTGGCTTTGAAAAACAGAATTTTTCTCTCACTATTCTGGAGACTAGAATTCCAAAGTTAGAGTGAGCAGGGCTGCACACCCTCAGAAGGCTCTATGGGAAAATCCTTCCTTTCCTCTTCCCAGCTTCTGGTGGTGGCAGTCAGTCCTTGGCCTTGTGTGGTTCCACCACGTTCTCCCTGAGCATCCTCTGTCATCATCTCCTCCTCCTCCCCATCCTCCCCCTCCTCCCCTTCCTCATCTTCCTCCTCCTCTTCTTCCTCATCTTCCTCCCCCTCTTCCTCTTCCTCCTCCTCCTCTTCCTCTCCCTCCTCCTCTTCCTCTTCCTCCTCCTCCAGTTTCTCTCCTACCTTCTCCTCTTCTTCCTTCTTTTCCTACCCCTCCTTTACTTCTTTGTCTTCTTTTTCAAGACAGGATCTCACTATGTGGCCCAGGCTGGCCACTGTGCTCTGCTCTCTGTCACTTATAAAATGACATCAGTCATATTGGATTAAGGGCCCACCCTACTTCAGTATGCATTCATTGCAGCTAATTACATCTGGAACAAACCCAATCAATTTTCAAGTAAGGTCACATTCTAAGTTGAGAGGGGGTGGGTTGGGGGGGAAAGGTAATACTTCAACATATCTTTGTGCATGAGAAACCACTGAGAAACATCCCCAGCCCTTAGGACTTCAACCTATAACAACTGTCATCACTGTTTTGATTCTATGTATGAAATTCTGGCACTCTAGACCCTTCATCTTGGTCTACATCCTATGCCTGAGCTCCACTTATTTTTAACTCTGTCCTCCACTGTGTGTGCTGGGTGCTAGGAAAGAGTTAAGAAATATCTGGTCTCTTGCTTCAGGGAGCACTTGGGATGATCAGAGCAGCCAGCTGAGCTATGCTTACAACCCGTGTTCATGCTACAGTGGAAGGAATGCTTCTGAGCTGAAGGAGAGCTCCTTAGCTCTTAATTAAGCATGGCTTCTAGAAAGCTTATGCCACTTTAGAAAGTCCAGAGGGAACTCTTGGTATCTGGACTATTTGACCTCACTTTTAGACCACCTGGTAACCTACAATATAATTTCAAATAATTTTCCTTGAGGATAGAGACTAATTTCATATAACTTTCTTTATATAGATTCTAGTGTAAAGAGACCTACAATTGCTTGTTTATCAACAGAGGTATCTGTAAGCTTTGTCCTTACAGAGACAAAAACTCAACACTGTAGCTGCTTCGTTGTCTGTACCTCAAACATCACCATCTTGGGGTGGGGTGTCCTAGCCAAATCATTCCAAAGACCATGGCAACCAAGGACCATGATAGAAAATGATGTGTTTCCCACCCTCTGTATTTTCCCAAACACTTCCTGATGGTGCTCAATATTTGGTGAGCATTGAACTGAGAGGAAAACAGTGTCTCAACACTGACCCTTCTAGTCTCCAGAGATCTAGCCTAGAACTGACTTGCTTGAGGCAGAGCTTGGGGAAGGGTGTGTCCCCAAGCCTGACTCTCATCGTTCATCTGACCCCACCAGAGGCTGACTGCAGCTGGTTTTTCCTACAGTTGTTCTTGGGATGTTTTGAGCCTCATCCTCTCTTTTCTTCCGCTCCTGGCTCCTTTTCTTCTCCCAGGAGATAGGGAGTCTGAACTTGGAAGCAAATGTGACAGCGGATGGAGCCTTGGCTATGGAAAAGGGACTGGCCACTCTAAAGAGCGAGATGAGAGAGACAGAAGGGGAGCTGGCCAGGAAGGAGCTGGAGTTTGACGCAGATAAGGACACGGTGCAGCTGGTGAGTAACCACTCCTTTCTATGGGCGAGCTCTTTAAAGTGGCTGAGATGGAAAATATCCTTTTGGGACACCTTTGTGCTTTTCCTCAGGTGATTACGGAAGCCCAGAGAGCTGATGCCAAAGCCAAGAGTGCTGGAGTTACAATCCAAGACACACTCAACACTTTGGACAGCATCCTACACTTAATAGGTCTGTGCAGCATCCACAGCCTTCCAGGCCCCCTGCCCCAGCGACTGTCCCCAGATTTGCTATTCTTAGCTGTGGTGGATGGGAATCTCAGTCTTCCTTAAGAGCATCTGGAAATTTGCTTTGTTTCCAGGCCCAGATGTTTTGAGCAGGTTGCTTTACATTTTCTGGGCTTTGTTTTACCATCTCTAAGATGAGTCACTGAGCATTTGTTGCATTGGAGGTCAATGTCTGTGAATCAGAGAACTAGGCACATTCCAGAAACTTCCCAGGAGAACGATCAGATGGAGGGGTCCTGCTAAGGAGTCTGGTCTTCGTCCTGAGAAGCCCCCTGGACAGTTTAAAGCAGGAGAGTAGCGTCATCACTCTATATTTTAGAAAGGTCACTAGGGCAGCTGAGTGGAGGAAAACTTGAAAGGGGCTTAGATAGAGGCAGGGTGAGGCCACGTAGAGTGCTGTTGACAGTAGATCAGGATGAGGCAGTAGAAGTGGTGAGGGGTAGAATGGAGGACTCCCCTTCGTCTGCTCTTTGTCCCCTTCGGTTCTGCTCTTTGTCCCCCTCAAATCAAACATACATCTTCTGTGACCAACTGGGGAAACTTCAGCTTCCCAGGTAGATGACCCAGAAGAAAGAGCAGGTTCATGAGATACTGCAAATTTTAGGATAAAATAGAGTTAATGTCACAGGATGGCAGGGAATCAGGTTTCCCCATAGTCAGTCCCCACATAAAACTGATGGGAATTAAAAGTCTGAATTTAGGGGTTGGAAAGATCAGTCAGTGGGTAATAGCACTTGTTGCTCTTCCAGAGGACCCCAGTGTAGTTCCCAGCACCCATGTGAGGCAGCTCATAACTCACCACCTGTAACTCCAGCTCCAGGGGCTCTGATGCCCCTCTGGTCTCCACTGGAACCTGCACACACATGACAAATGCTTATATAAATATTTTAATAAATAAATAAATAAATAAATAAATAAATAAATAAATAAATAAATAAATAAAAAGCTTTAATAAAAAATTTTAAAGCCTGAGTTTAAGTAGAGCTGATAGGAAGCCATCATCAGCGTGGACTATAGTAGATAGGGATGTAGCAATTTGGTCACATGTTCCCATGACATCCAGGAAAACCTGCTCTGCTTACCATTTCAGTAGAACAACTTAAACACTGTATTTTCCTATAGAGCATTATCATCTTCCTGAAAGACCAGTATTTTCTGTGCTGTTACACTAATGGATCTGTTTGTGATCCAATGAGCCCCAAAGAGTAAAATCGCCTCTAAAGATTAAAAAAAACTCCCCAGTTGAGGTTTAAGCAGCTAAGCAGCATTGTTTAGCATTCTAAAAAACAGTAATGACATTAATGGAACCTTTAAAGGGAAAATGAGAGAGTGGGGAGGGAGTGGTGGGAACTATTAAATATTTACTATGTGTCAGGTACTGTGCCAGGAATTTTCATGGCATAACCATTTAAGTCTTGTTAGAGCCCTATGAGATGGGTTTTATTATTTTGTTTCATGGGGAAATAAACTGAGGCTGCAGATCATACAGTAAATTGTGGGGACAGGGTTCAAACTGAGATCTTGTATCTCCAATGTTCCTGTATTTCTTTGGAAATCATGGTATAATTTATACCCTATTTATTCTCTTGAGTCTTGGAATAATAACTCATTAACTATTCTAGGTATAATAAGCTCACACATTGAGATATTATCACTGGGCTTGAGAGAACCAATTCCCACAAGTTGTTCTCAACCTATGGCATGCACTTGCCCATACACATACACACAAACAAATAACTAAATAAATGTAATTTAAACATTTAGAGAAAAACCAATACTATCACTATAGCTCAGACATGTGAGGCAACTTGATCTTCAGTTTGAATTGACCCAGAGCTGCTTAAATCTAGTTGAACTAAATGGGTCTGGCCAGGTGCCCTTCATGCTGACATAGGCTTTATACCGTTTATGGGTAAAACATACCTGAACAAATGCAGTTACATTTCACATTGGAGATAAACAGATACCTAGCCAGATTCCCATTGTTTTGCACCAGAATGAAGTCATTCTCTTAACAGCTGGAGTCCATCCTCCGAATAGCTAAGCATACCTTGGCCTCTATAAACCCTGAAGCTCAGCCAGTTTCTAGAGTTTCTTAATAGGAAACAGCAAGGTATTTTCTCAGGATGATTCAGAAGGCATATTGGCAGTTCAGATCCCAGGGGGAACTGTGTTAGGCTGTCACCTTGGACAGTGCTCAGTCTCCTATAGCTTTCTCCTGTCAGAGCGTGACCTATTATTTTTACGAAAGAGTGCTTATTTCATTGGGTGCATGATAGAGCTCAGTCTTGAACTAGGCTGTTCATAGCACAAACACTTGGCTAGTGCTGTCAGGACTTCCTTTACATTATTTGTAACTTAAGGTGAGCCTTTTAAATGTATGACACAGTATTTTCTCTGGGAAGGTGGAATCAGAAATTTATTAAGATTCTAAAAGGGCACACACATGTTCCATGAGCTCTAACTATAGCTTTTCTCTGTTAACATCTCTCCTGTGCCCTAAAATAGACCAGCCAGGTAGCGTGGATGAAGAGGGGCTGATCTTACTGGAGCGGGAGCTTTTCCAAGCCAAGACCCAGATCAACAGTCGACTTCGGCCCCTGATGTCTGAGCTGGAGGACAGGGCACGTCGACAGAAGAATCACCTTCATCTTCTGGAGACAAGTATAGATGGGATTCTGGCTGATGTGAAGAACCTGGAGAACATTCAAGACAACCTGCCTCCTGGCTGCTACAACACCCAGGCTCTTGAACAACAGTGAAGCTACAGTAGAGATTTGTCTGCTGAGGCTCTTTGGATACAGACCTCAGGGCTCAGGAGCCATCTCATGTGGATGGGATGGGCTAAGGATATTTGAACACATAATGGGTGTGTTCAGATCAATTGGACCTGACTCCATCCCTGAGACCCCGGCTAGGTGGAACCTGCACCAGTATGGTACTGTTTGCTTCCTGATGCTGGCAATGAGGCAGATAGCACTGGGTATGAGACTGTCCGAGGACCAACTACACCAACAATTGTCAACCTCAGAGCAGTCATAACTGAGTCCTGGAATATGGAAAGTATACGTCAGGACAGGGAGTGAAATCTAATCACACGGTGGCCAGTAAAGCATTCTTGCTTCATGTCGTCCACTACAAGTTTCTTGTTGAGCAGATTTCCTCCGCTGCCCACCTAGTACATGAGTATGTACTCTACTTTCAGACTGGATGCAGTGAGCAGTTGGAACAGTGAAGGACGTGGCTGTCTGGTTCATTTGGAGCAATGGTGCCTGCTGCTGCCCTGTCACTTCTTGTTCTAGGCTTGAGAATTACATCCTTTCTCCTAATGGTGCCGGAACAACTCAGAAACTGTATTTTTATTAAAGCATTTCATTTCCTACCAGCAAAACAAGCAGTGGGAAAGTATTTACTTTTAAGTTTCAAAGTGATATTAAAAAATGTATCTTGGGCATTGAAAGAAGTGGAATATTCTAGAAGATTTATTAGTCTTAAACCAATTCCCTTTTCCAAAAACTAAACTCACATGCTTCTGTGTATTTTATCTTATTGTCTCTCTCCCTAAATCAGGGATGATACATCCTTTCATATATCCTTCCAACATATATTTATTGAGTCCCTACTGTGCGCCAGAGGTGAGTGGGACAGTACTGCCATCATCTGCCCTCATAGAATTGATTGTCTAGTGAGGAGGACAAACATTAAAAATAATAAATTTAAATTTCCAAGCCTCGTTCATCACAAATGGTATTTATTGCAGTCACCCTTGGTTTGGAACCTCTTTTCTCAACAGAACATGTGTTGCAAGACAGTCCCGTGGGGGCTACTTGAGTTAGGGCAAAGCTGAAATAGTTCTGAGTCTTACACACTTCTCTGTGTTCCAGCTGTCCCTCCACCCCTTCCCACAACACACTGTTGCAACAGACTGTTGAGTCACGGTAATACCAGTGGGAATTTCTGAAGGAACCAGAGGCACTTCCACCTCAACTTGGAAGACGTCTGTGCTGTCTCTTTTCTGCATTTCCTTGTCTTTTCTTGGATGTGTTTTTAAATAAAAGAACAATTGTTAGATGTTGGGGATCAGTTTCTGTTTTTATTAAACTCAGCATGAGATGGGAGTGCCAGAACAGTGGAAATGAAGATACCATCCCCATGATGGTCCCAAGGCCAGCATCTTCAAATTCCTCAGTAGCCTAGCTTTCCAACTATGAGGGTATTTCATAAGATTTAGATGATGCTGTATCCTAAGCATAAAAAGTTATTTCTAAAACAACTCAAACTGAGTGGAGGCTATAATTAATACTCTTGTCTTTTTCATCTGCTTTAAAATAAAGGGAAAATCAGTCGTTTGTGGTACATATGTAATGCCTTTTAATAAATTAAATTTTAATAAGTTAAGGTCCTGAATTGGCTGTTTACCCAAGCTACTAAGGAAAGGACTCTGCCTCTGTCCACTTTGACTCCCAAATTCTAGGAGGTCTGACAACTTGGTCTTTTGTGGAAGTAATTTGATAATTCTACCTTGGTATGCTCCATTCCATAGCCTACACGTTTCTTGTAATTTAATTTTTTTCTCTCTTGTAGTTCATGTCTACAAAGTATATGTATATTACAGTACATTAACTATTACTACAAAAGCCTAAAATACATAAATAACTTAAATCCAATAGACATACATAAAAAAATACATCTCCCCAAACTTGAAGCCAAAAATATGTTATGATTTCCAATTTTTTCTTGGTCCTATAACAGATTGGGTACTTTCCACATAACCATTTCAAAAGCCGTTTACAATATGTGACTTCTAAGGTTGCCTTGAGAGGGGAGGGAAGGAAAAGAACAAGATGAAGGACATACTTGGGGGTCTTTGTAGGCCAGAAGTCCTCATGTTCTAATTATCCAACGCCATGTTATCATAATCTGCAAGGGCTTCCTTGAAAGAAAGCCATTTCTCAGTGACAATTCTATACTATGAAAGGGGAGACTATATTGTTGGATTAGCTATGTGTACGTATAGGATTAGACAGTACATATCCTAGAGGATCTGATGAGACAGCCCATTAGTTAACAATCATGGTATATGCAATCATAAGAAGATTTCTCACTGGATGGATTGTTAAGAAAGGTCTAAGAATTAGTCTGGGGTTGTAACTCAGGTAGAGTGCTTGCCTAGCATGCAAAAGGCTCAGGGCTTCATCCCCAGGACCTCATAAACCAGGACTCTTGAGAGTGGAGGCAGGAGGATCAGTAATTCAAAGTCATCCTTGGCTACATAGAAAATTTGAGGCTAGCATATCTCTAAAAGATAAAAAAGAAAAGAGAAGTTTTAAGAATGTCTTTCTTGGCAAATGGGACCACTCAATAAAGATGAGGAATAGAAAAATGACCATTGGAACTCTACTGGTATAAAAAAGACTCTCTCATTTCTGAGGACTTGGTGAAGACCTTATAGCTAATAGGTGGCCGACTCAGAGCCTAGGGCCAGTTTTGATCTGACCCTGCCAACAGGGTGGTTTCATCTTTTCTGACCTCTTGTCAATATTTGTGAGAACTTTCTTACAGCTCTCTGAGAGTTTTATGGTTAACTGTGCTGTTTGTAGGATATGACACACATCCTCATCTACCATGGCTCATGGTAGGTGAGAAGAGGGGTAGAAATGAAACTTCCCATAGACTTGAATTCCTTAGCAGATGTAGTTCTGACATCATCCCAGGATGTGGTTTCTTTCTAGCACTCTTAGGAAGTTAGAGAAAAGGGTAAAAAGATACTCAGTCCTGTCCAATGTTTGGAACAAATCTCAAGGACCAGGAATATGTTTATGATGTCTTCTTCTAATGTTTTGCATGGTCATGGGAATGTTATGGAGTCTTACTGTGTTTTAATTTTCCCACTTGAAAAACAAAGTAGAATTTCTCTCTGCTTTATACTATTGGCCACAGAGAACTTCTTGGGAAATTCTAATATGTAAAGCTTCATTATGGATCACAAGGAAAGAAATGTATATGATTGTTAATTCATGTTTAGTATATATATTTTATGTTAGTATAAGTTAGCAAATTAAATCAGTGTTTATAGTCCATTTTAACACATCATTACGCATCTGGACATGGGGGGAAAGCTACAGTTAGCTTTGTGAACAAAACAGCAAATATAAACACAAATAATCAATTTACAACGTGATATCAGACATCGTTTTGATGTACCATGAAATCCACATGGATACACACAGAGTTGGCTAAGGTCAATTTTAAGAAGAAGAGAAAATCTAAGAATCCTAAAATGAAAATAATCACAGCACAAATTAATCTGACAAGTATCTAATCCTTAAGTGAGAGTTGGGAATGGTTATTTCACTTTCTGAATAACAACTGATGATTGGCTAATGACTGTAACCATTTACACCCAGCCAGTACAGGACACGTTATAGCTAAAAAGGAAACTGGAACCCAGGATCACAGCAGGAGTGAACAATTAGCAAGTCATTAATTTTTGCTTGTTTACATTGCCAGAAGAAATTGTGAGCTTAACAATTTCTGTCTTAGTTAGATCTTTCATGCCAAAAAGTTCAATAAGGGTTTAATTTTCACAAATATATTTTTACTTCATAAAGTACCAATTAAAATACTAATTTCATTCAAGAGCCAAAATTGCCAGTCATGATGGCACACTGCCTGGAAACCCAGTATTTGGTGGGTAAACACAGAAAGATCAGAAATTCAAGGCCATTTCAAGCAACATATCAAGTTGGAGACCAGCCTGGACTACATGAGACCACGTCTGAAAAAACAAGCAAACAACACCAAAAAGAACTGGAGTTAACCAAGAGCACAGACTGTGAGGGCTGATCTGGGTCTAAGTTTTAATTTTCTTAAACTGGGAAAACAGGCACAATTCCATATATATATATGGATAAGGAGATAATGTGTGTATATATATATATATATATATATATATCCTTGGAGATATGTGTGTGTATATATATGTATATATGTAAGCACATATGGATTTTTGAGACAAGTGCTCACTATGTAGCCCAGGCTAGCCTCAATTTGGAATTCTTACAACAGCCGTTCAAGTCTCGAGTGTTGGGACTACAGGCTTTGCCACGATACCTGGCTGTATACACTTTTTAAAACATTTACTTATTTATTTATTGGCAGGGGTGCTTGCATGCTCCTCAAGGACAGCTGGCAGGAGCTGGTTCTCTCATCCACTGTGGGAGTTCCAGGGATCAAACTTGGGTTGTCAGGGTTGGCAGACAGCATCTTTACCCACTGAGCCATCTCACTAGCCCTGATTGTATATACTTCTATGTCACACTTGTGACATCAGCTCAACTAGGCAGAACAGCTCCTACTCTAAGTATATTCAAATTTGTTTTTAAATTTTATGTGTGTGCTTTGCCTGCATGTATGTAAGTGTATTGCATGCATGCAGTGCCCACAGAGGCCAGAAGAGGGTGTCAGATTCCCTGAACCAGAGTTACACACAATTGTTAACCTCTGTGTGGGTTCTGGGAACCAAACTCAGATCTTCTGCAAGAGCAGCCAGTGCTCTTAACTCCGGAGCCATCAATCCAGCTCCCTAAATACCTTTTATATCTGTTATCTCCCACCAAGTAACACTGAGAATCAAAAGTGATTACGTCTCAGAGCAACTCAGAGAAGTTTCCAGACAAAGACACAAGACTCTAGTAGCATTGTCTGATTTATTAACATAATCGAAACATTTTGCTGATAAAACTCTTGTCCATGACTATTCTAGCAACAAAATTTTACTCAAAATATTTCACTGTGAAATGGTATTGCAACTTGAATGCACTTTTTATTAATGAGTTGATTTCCATAAAGCAAATCTTATTCTTAAGTCGTCAGATGATATGACCAAAAAGAGATCTAAGAGATTTTTTTAAAAAATCTTCTTCCCAATACCAACCCCATGAGGATCAAGCTGAGCTCTGGGTCCTGGGACTCAACTGAGGTGGAAGGAAAGAGCCATAACTCATTCCTAACTAACTGAAACAGGCTATTAGGATACTCCAAATACACACTACAAAGAAACCACATGAGGAGTTGAATTTACTGGTCAGCTACAGGAAGGTACAGGCTGGATGAATGTGACAGAGGGCACCGATCCTCACTACTACACACTATTTCTAAGAGACTTGACCATCTGAGCTACAAAATTAGTCCCTGTTCCGTCCTTCCCATCTCACCTGCTGGCTCTCCTGCTATAACCTTGGGAGAAATCCTGAGCTCTACATATTGTTTTATTTTTGCGTTACTGTTTTTGTTTTGAGACAGTCTCATGTACCCAGGCCGGCCTTGAACTCCTGATCTTCCTATCTCCACCTCTTAGTGCTTGGATCACAGGCATGTGCCAACATGCCTGGCTTTGCACTACTTTTTTGATGAAAATACACTGAGATGCTTCTTTCTCTTAGTCCCCTAAAAGTGTGTATGTGTGTCTGTCTGTGTGTCTGTGTGCGTGAATTTCAGTTTGGGAGAGTAGGCTTAAGCTCCTTGTAATTCTCTGCCTTTTGCTGCAGTTTATCAAGTCTTACTTCCTACTTATTTGAATAGACTTTCTTTGCACTCAAAGGATAATGAAAGCCACGGGCTGCCTGGCATTGGGTTGTGTGTGACAGATCTGGAAGCAACCCAGAGCTCTCCGAGGACCATATCTTGAGGAGAGAGTCATTTATACAGTTTCCCTCTTGTCTGCTCTTCTATCAGCCAGTTTCAGAAAAATGGCAGGGACTTTATTGACAGTGGGAAACAGGGTCCAGATCCCTCATGACATGATCATTACAATCTGTGCCTTTCTCACCATGTCTGTGCCATGCTGGTAGTGGGGTGGCCTTCATAGGAAGTAGCAGGTCCCCAAAGGGCAACAGAGCCTGGAAGTTACCCTGATGACACTAGAAGTACCACTTAGAACTCTCTGGTCCATCTTTCTGGTATTAGCTGAGGCCGATCACAGTCACAGTGTCCTGTTCTAGACTGGGAGAAGTGCTCTAATCTGGCTCTATCTAGAAAAAGAAGAAAAAGGCAGGATAGCAAATGGAAAATTCCACCCAGGGGGAGATTCATGTTCTCTTTGTCAAAGATAAGTCTTTTTTTTTTTTTTTTGGCTTTTTGAGACAGGGTCTCCCTGTAGCCCCAACTGGCCTGGAACTCACTATGTAGACCATGTAGACCAGGCTGGCCTCAAACTTACAGAGTTCTGACTGCCTCTGCCTCCTCAGTGCTGGGACTAAAGGCGTGCACCACAATTCCTGGCAAAGGTAAGCTGTTCTAAACATACTGCACCAAGATACAGAGTGTCCCATTGCTTCCTAAAATCCACTTCTTCCACACCTGTTCTTTCCCTTAGCTCAGCTCCCTTTCCTTCCCTGGCCCCACCTGCCTTCTGTGCCCACTGAGGGTACAGGGCTAGCCTGGTTCCTTCTCATAGGTTGTGGATTAAATGAGGTTTGACCTAGAACCTACTGTAGGAACAGAGCGAACCAAAGGAACAAAAGAAATATAATCTTTTTCAGGTCTGGATCCTGGTCAACGCTAGAGCCTTCAAAATGTCAGGTTTCCCCAAGGAAATCCAGCTCCCTGTTTTCTTTTGTTTCAAGGAAACAACATCCTCGCATCACATTCTCCACATGCTAGGTGATCCTGGACCAGGTACTGAATTCATGGGTCTCTGCTCCTTTCAAAGGAGAGCCTCAGAGCACCTGAGTTCTGAAGACTATTTTTCCATGAATCTCAGCCAACACTGGGACATAAGAAAAGGATCTTCCCTCCTTTCTCTAGAGATCAGCTCTATAATCTCAGAGGAGTATCACAGCTCTAGGGCTGCTTGACCATGCTCTTCTGTTGAATCCACTTCCTTTTCCCGGAAACAACGGAAGGCGAAACATGTAGTGAAGAGCATCATCCCGTCCCTGGCTTCAGTCCCACCACGGCCTAGTTCATGTTAGAAGTTAAAAGGGGCCATTCCTCATGAACAACCAAAAACTCAAGATACACAGGCTGGATGAGGACATGAAATACAAGAATCATTTCCTACTAGCTCTCCAAGCAGGACAGGCAGGTCCAAACTGTCTCCAGAGGTAGAGAGGAGGACAGGACATTAGGGAGAAATGTCTGTGACAACTCTTTTGGAAACCCACTGTTTTGTTGGGAAGACTTCTTTGACTTCTTCGGGCTGCTTCTGTGGCTGCTTCTCTGCAGGATGTAGGGTCAGCTCAGAAACAAAGTCAACTCTTTGCCCAAGAAGGAAAGGGCTTTGGGCACAGCTGAGTAACCTCACTGGAGTGGGTGAGGATCATGCATTCCCCTCAGGGTAACAGATCGCATTCTCCCTGGTCATCCTGGACCAGTAAGTTCTCACAGGGACAGTTCCTAGTCAATGGGCAATAAATAATCCCAATTAGCAAAGAATCTCTAGGGTCGAGTGAATTCCTAACATTTAAAAAAAGAAATGACTGGATTATCAAGACTTGGCCGTGTCCATATGATTCTCCTTAGGGGCAGGACCCTGTCTCAGCATGGCCTCAAAGGGTTTATGCTCTTTGGAAATGCCTGGGTTGGCAGGGAATCCGCACAGGACCACCAGCCACAGTCCACTTAAGACTATGCATGTATAGATGCCACCAGAAAATAAGGATGCACTGGCTCTGTGTAACCACGGGAACAGAGCATCACGAAGACAGTATTCTGAAACTGAGGAAATAGACTCAAATTCTGAGAAACCTTACTATTCCCAAGCTTGTCTCCCAGGTTTTAGAAAGTCTTATGACCAAAGGCTGCTCTCCTCTCTTCTCTCTCTTTCTCTCTTTTCTCCCTCCTTTCTCCTCTCCTCTTCTCTTCCTCTCTCTCTTCTTTCTCTCTCTCTCTCTCTCTCTCTCTGTCTCTCTGTCTCAGTCTCTCTCTCTCTCTGTGTCTCTCTCTCTCTCTCTCTCTCTCTCTCTCTCTCTCTCTCTCTCTCTCTCTCTCTGTTGGAGAAGCAGAACTGAAGAACTGGGCTGGCCTTCTATCCTGGGTGTGGCCCTCACATGCTTTGTGAGTGCTGAGACTGGCTATAGTGTCCTGTCAGAAAGGAAATAAAACTGCAGGGGTGCATCAAAACTATAAACATAAAGAAACATACACACAGATTTCACTCCAGTTCTACAATAAATGAACAGAAGAAAATAAATAAAAAAGAAAGAAGAAAAATAGCCCTTTGTGGTAAAGGGCATGCTGGGAAGGCGAGAGCCAGAGCCGCCTCCCCAGAGCATGCTGGGAGGATGGGCACCAGAGCCGCCTCTCTAAGCATGCTGGGAGACAGACACCAGTACATCTCCAAGGACTGTACTTCCCCCAACTCCCACCCTGTTCCCTTACCCACCCCCAACCCGGAGACTAGAGGAAAGTTTGTCCAAAGATGACTGTGAATAGAGAATGCCATGGTTCTTTGCAGGTCCCCCACACTGTGGGGGTTAAGTCAGCCAGTGGGAGAACAGTCAAGATGAAGACAGAAAAACAGAGAGGCGGGAGAGAAACCAAGGTCTGACAGAGACTGGAGGGGCCAGTGTGTTGGTGGAGCAGAGAGGTGGGTGGCTGCTAGCCAGAGGCATTGATGTACAACTGGCTCTTGAGGATGTAGTCGATGACTGGCTGAGACAGGTAATCCACAACATGGCCATCCCCGTGCTGCAGGGCCAGCCTGCATGAAAAGAAACTGCAGTCAGATGGCCACCCGTGCCCATATACATTCAGAGTGCTAGGCTGCCCCCAGCCCCCACCCCCACCAGTCTTGGCTTGGGTTGAGTAAACAGTATTGATATTAGGTACACACTGCCCCCTACTCTAATGACACCTTCATCCTGGTTCTGTCCCTGCTTAGCTTATTTAATTTTTTTTACATTTATTTATTGTGTGTGTGTGTGTGTGTGGTGTGTGTGGTGTGTGCGTGTGTGTGTGTGTGTGTCTATACACACATGCTACAGCACACATGTGGACATTAGAGAATAAGTTTTGGGAGTTGGTTCTACCTTTCCACTATGCAGTTCCAGGGATCAAACTCAGGTCATCAGGATTGGTTGTAAACACTTTTACCTGAAGAGCCATCTTGTCAACCCACTGGGCAAGTAATTCACACCTTTCTCCAGATTTCTCTTCAGTAAAATGAAAGCAATGTTTAAGTCAATCACATTCAGTTATTAAAAGGATTAAATGAGTCATTATGCCAAATGTGGGGTTGATATTTTAATGTGTTGGCTACTCTTCTTTTTGTTTTACTTATTTTTAAAATTTTTATGTGTATGAATATATTGCCTGCATGTATGTATGTGCACCCGTGTAATACAGTGCCCACAGAGGGCATCAGAACCCTAGAACTGGATGGTTGTTAGCTGCCTTGTAGGTTCTAGGGTTCTGATGCCCTCTGTGGGCACTGTATTACACGGGTGCACATACATACATGCAGGCAATATGTTCATACCCACCGAGCCATCTCTCCAGCCCTGTCTTTTTGTGTGGATATTTAAGATAACTTATCTCACCCCTTTAGGCTTCTTTGCATGCTGGTCTCATGAAAACTGATCTCCCAGAAGCTTCCTATGCTTGACCTCCCTTTTTCCCTCCTACAGGAGCCTATGGTTATGAGCTCACAGAGAGACAGAGACAGAAATGAAAGATTCCAGTAACAAATTGATTCCTGTACAATTTTTCTCTGGCCCATTGCTTCCTGCTCTTGCCTTATATAATAGCCTGGGGACTGTTAGCCTCCGAAGAGCTATTTGTGAAAATTTATATGCTCCTCCAGCCATCTGGTTATGCCAGGTGCTGACCCCTGCAGTGGAGACTGGCTCTTTGCCCTCAATGCATGCACTACCCTTACCTGACAAGGCGGGTCCTTAGGGGGCTCCCCACACAGAGAAGCTTTTTGAAAAGCAGTCTCTAAATGCCAGTTCCAACGTCATCAGACTCAGCTGAGAAGCAGATTCTTAGCCCAACCCCAACAAACGGTGATCCAGTGGGATGGAATGGGGCACAGAAATTGGTATGGCCCATATCAAGTAACTTCCCCAGGAGTCTAAGTGCAACCATGTTGGCATCACAGCCCTCCCGTCCTCATTTCTCTGTCCTTGAATTCTGCCTTCCCCTCCCAGTGGCTGTTACTCTTGTGATATCTCCATAATTGTCTTCCAAGGGAAGCAGGCCAGCAATTTAAACACTGGGTTCATTTGACTTCTCTGAAATATGCAGCCAGCTGGCAATGCTCAGCTCTCTTCCTCTTTGGCCACTGGACCATCCCTCACGGAAACTTCTGACTGCTCCTCTGCCACCTCCTAGTAAGCTTGCAGTGTTCCCTATGCTGCTTTCTCTCGGTTGCTGGACAGTCTGTGAGCTAATTTGGATTCAGAATTTTAAATTTTTAATTAGTTAATGTGTGTGTACACATGTGTGCATCCCATGACACAAGTATGTAGGTCAGAAGCCAATTTCAGGACTCGGCTCTCTCCTTCCACTGTGTGGGTTCCAGGGATGGCTGTCTCATTTTACCTGACATGTCTGCCCGTACATAGCTCTCCGTTTTACACTTCCAGACCTCTAGATCCCACATAGCTCACTACTTCACAGAACATTTTCCCCTGGAGATCGTGAAGTAAACTGTTAACCAGTTCCTAGTATTCATTCTTTCCTTTTGCGCTTTATCTGGACATATGGCTGCTGAGCAGTAAACTACACTTCCCAGCCTCCCTCCATCTGAGCCAGTAGAATAACAAAGGAAATGGGGTGCACAACTCTGGGTCACTTCATTGCTTTTTTTATTCATTTATTTTTAAGTTTTCATTTATCTGTTTTTAATTTTATGCTTATGAATGTTTTGTCTGCGTTTACATAAGTGTATCATGTGCATACAGTGCCCAGAGAAGTCAGAAGAGGGTGTTGATCCTCTGGAACTGGAGTTAAAGATGGTTGTTAGCCACCCTGTGGGTACTGGGAACCAAATCCTAGCAGCCAGTGCTCTTAACTGCTGACCTATGTCTCCAGCCCCATTCATTTATTTTTGAGATAGGATCTTGCCTCATAGCCCAAGATAACGTGGATTTTTTTATACTCTCTCCCCAGCTTCCTGAGTGTTCATACTACCATGCATGCCTGGGTGTGGGTCACCTTCTTAAATACAAAGCTTTGAGCACTGGGCTTCACCTTGCTCTTTCCCGGTGGCTGAGGACAATCCTGGCTGTAGCTGTGGACCCAGCAATACCATGCATGCCTGGGTGTGGGTCACCTTCTTAAATACAAAGCTTTGAGCTCTGGGCTTCACCTTGCTCTTTCCCAGTGGCTGAGGACAATCCTGGCTGTAGCTGTGGACCCAGCATTGGAAGTTTCAGATTGAAGAGACCAGATTCAATTCCTTTAGACTTCTGTAAGTGAGAACTATACATCTACTTTATTTGAAACTCTGAATATTGAGGTATTTTTGTAATGGCAGCCTGGCTTACACCCTTACTTATACACGACTTTATAAGCACCTCAAACTAAGAGTTTCCCTCATTTAAAAGTAAATGGTTAGAGATTTTAAAAAATGAAGTCTAAGAAGAGCTGAATGCTGGGACGGCAAGTGTTCACCTGAACATAAGGGTTGCATTTGACTGAGGAAAGCTATGGATATTTAGAAGGCAGTCTGACCAGAGTCAAACTGCTTGTCAAACTTACCTGCTCTTGGTGGAGCTGACTACAGACATGGGATGGTTGACGTCATCCTTCACCACCATGATGTTGTTCTGGAAATAGAGCAAAAAGAACAAGTCACCAATCCCTCGCATTGAGCTACTTTTGCTCCCTCACCCTTCCAGTACCCCAGAACTTTCAGAGAAAGAGCACATCACAGAGATACACCAGCAGGGTGCTGGAGGATTCACCTTGTATTTGCGGAGTATGGAGGAGTGATTCATGATTCGGTCTGTGTCAGCTGCATCCCGGGGTACCACCACGATTCCAAAGTCCCCAACAATCACTTCCATCTGAACCGAGGGAGGGAGAGGGCGAGACACCTTTGGTGAAATCTGTTACCCCAAATAACACTCAACAGAGTAGAGCTAATCCCATTCTTCCATGTGGAACTTGAAACTTTAGTTTCTAACTGACCTTCTCGGCCCCATCAGTCAGCAACTTTAAGTAACTACAGATAATAATAGTGTTAGTAGAATGAGTGGGAACTTTGCCTGGTACACAAAGATGCTAGGTAATTCCTTCTAGAATGAATGAACATACTTTTGCATGCCTGGACAAGACCATTGTAATCCTCGAGGCTCTCGTTTGAGTTCACAGTGTTGCAGAATAGTGTGGATGATATATACTTCTTACCCAGTAAATACCCTCACGGGTGAAACTGATCCCACTGTCCATCAAATACACTTCAGCCTTCAGCTGGACATCAGAGAGGCTGGCATGCTCCCCTCTTTCACGTGACTCACACACCGGAGAGTTGCTGTGAGACTCCGGGCAACCACAGCAGAGGAGTGCTCAGAATATATCCTGTGTGCACAGGCAGTGATGAGGGGCAATGATTAATTCATAGGCGGGGGCGGAGGGGGCGGGCACCTCTGAGATCAGCCTCTGATGGAAGTTTGAGGAGTGCTCAGAATATATCCTGTGTGCACAGGCAGTGATGAGGGGCAATGATTAATTCATAGGCAGGGGCGGAGGGGGCGGGCACCTCTGAGATCAGCCTCTGATGGAAGTTTCATTCCTTAGTGAAAAACAAAACTTTAAAAACAAAACAAAACTAGATCTTTTGGGGCATTGAGAGATGATCTGGCTACATGGCCTAGGCTATCTTCAAACTCACCATCTACCTGTCTCAGCCTCCTGAGTGCTGAGATTATCCCTACCAAGCTGGCTCTTTAGCTTCCACTTCTGGTTACAGATATAATACAAGCATAGGAAATCCAGAAAAAGATAGAAATCAGTCCCAACCATACAATCCAGGTAACTGTAGCTAGCACTTCAGCTTACTCCAGTATTTTCCTCTCTGTGAGTGGGTGTGCATATCCACATTACTGTTGCACCACAAAAGTAGGGCAGAGGATGTAACTCAATGGTAGAGTGCTTCCTTAGCATGAGGCCCTGGGTTCAATCCCAAGCATTGCAAAAAGTAAAAATAAAATTTAAAAATCAACCGCTTAAGTAGTAATTAGTAATTTTACCTGAATTCTTTTCTTTTCATACGATTTGTTTTATTTTTAAGTGTGAGTGTGTGTGTGTGTGTGTGTGTGTGTGTGTGTGTGTGTGTGTGCATGTGAGTGCAGGTGATGGAGGAGGCCAGAGGTATTGGAGCTCCCTGGAACCTGGAGTTATAGGCAGTTGTGGACTGTACGGTATAGGTGCTGGGAAATAAACTCAGGTCCTTTGTAAGAGCTGTGCACACTCTTAACTGCTGAGCAATCTCTCCAGCCCCAACTGCATTATTTTTATTGTATTACATTGTGAGCATGTCCTACATCATTAAAAATTATTTGAGGGACATCCAGTGGCCCATCAGGTAAGGGCACTTGCTACCAAGCCTGATGACCTGAATTCAGTCCCTGAAACCCACATGGTGTAAGAAGAGAACCAGCTTCTGCAACTTGCCCTCTGACCTCCATGCCATAGCACATATAGGCACATACAGAGGTGCACATACACACACACACACACACACACACACACAGTGGCACACACAAGCACACAGAGAGGCATACAGAGCACACACAGAGGCACACAGACACATGTATGCACACACAGGTACACACAAGCATACACATAAACAAGTAAACAAACAATAAATGTCAAAATTATTTGGAAATAGGTCTCAGCCTTTTATACACTTTTTATCCTTATTTATTTTTTAAATTTTATGTGTATGCGTATTGCCTGCATGTATGTAAGAGAATCTGTGTCGTGCAATACCCTCAGAGGACAGAAGAGGTTGTCAGATCCCCTAGAACTGTAGTTATGGACAGTTGTTAGCTGCCATGTGGGTGCTGGGTTTCAAACCTGGGTCTTCTGCAAGAACAGTGAGTGTTCTTAACTGCTGAGCCATCTCTCCAGCCCCTGTATTTCTTTTTTAAATGTTTTATTATTTTTATTTTATGTGTATGAGTGTATTGCCTGCATGTAGGTAAGTGCACCTGTGTCATGCAATGCCTGGAGGACAGAAGAGGCTGTCGGATCCCCTGGAACTGGAGTTACAGACAGTTGTTAGCTGCCACGTGGGTGCTGGGATTTGAACCCGGGTCCTCTGCAAGAACAACCAGTGTTCTTAACTGCTGAGCCATCTCTCCAGCCCATCTTTTTTAGAAAAAAAGTATTTTATTATTTTTTTCATTTTATGTGTATGAGTGTATTGCCTGCATGTATGTAAGTGCACCCACGTTGTGCAATGCCTGTGGAGGTCAGAAAAAGGCATTGGCTCTCCTGGAACTAGAGTTATGGACAGTTGTTAGCTATCATGCAGATGCTGGGAGTCGAACCTGGGTCCTCTGCAAGAGCAGTCAGTACTCTCAACCACTGAGCCATCTCTTTAGCCCTTTTGTTTTCATTTTTCTGAGACAGGGTCTCACTATGTAGCCCTGCCCAGCTTTGTAACTCACTGTGTAAACCAGGCTGGCCTGGAACAACTCACAGAGATCTGTTTGTCTCTGCATCCTGAGTGCTGAGATTAAAAGCTTGCGCCACTATGCTGGGCCCTTTTATGTATGTCATTGTCAGCTGTACCACAGTACATTCAGTTAGTCCTATTGTATGGAAATCATACAGCTACCTGTTATTTTTTGCAACCATATTAAACACTTTGATGAGTATCTTTATATATAAATCTTTTACCACATCTCTAATTATTTCCTTAGGATAAGAAGTAACATAATTGGATAAAAAGATATGAACTGGATATATTTCAAGCTCTTGAGACATATTACCAAGCTGCCACCTAGAAATTTGTGCTGATACTTCTTTTCAAGGAGGTTGGAATTTATGGCATTTAGTAGGCTTGGATCAGCCTGGGCATATTACTGTTTAGACCTTGCCAATTATGGATCCCAGCAGAGGAAGAAGGATGTTGCTTCTAAGCAGTTTAGCTCATTAAGCAAGCTCTGCTTTAGGGGTAAAGGACTCCATAATTATTCAAATAAATGTCACAAAAACAGACACTATGGAGCACTATGGTCCATTCTTCTGTGCTAGAAAATTTCACACCAATAGAATTCCATTATAAGCCTGCTTTATTGTGCATAATTGCAGTAAAACCTGAAAGTGATGATGTCTCACTTGCCCTCAGTAGGAGCCTCAATACCTGCGATGCCTATGCTATGTTCCTTGAGTTCATGAGATTTCACCCACTGGGTCCTTTTCTTGTAAATCTCTACTTTGTGATTTGGGAAGCTATGGGTGATCTGGGTATGACCCTGATTCCAGACATTGTGTGTGTGTGTGTGTGTGTGTGTGTGTGTGTGTGTGTGCGTGCGCACGCATGCACATGTGCACATAAGTAAGTGTGCACATCCTTGGCTATTTCCACCCACCTTTACTCTGCTTTTCTATTGCTTAATAACTAGACCTAGAATTACAACGGGAACTCTGATGTTGAAATAAAAGGGTGGCTTTAGTGTCCTAGGAGGTGAGAAGTTACAAGCTAGACATAGAATATCAGCACCCCCGGGTCACATCATTTGGATACAGAGCATCATAGAGCAGAGGCATTTAGGGGAGCTCAGATCAGGTAAATCAGCATCAAGTGCTTTTTCCTATAGACCAGGAAATATTCCAGAGAGGCAAGGCAGAGAGCTGGAGCAGACCCGGCTCCTCTTGTCATAGTGTTTAAAGTACTACACTGGGATCACCACTCAGTAACTGATTCTGAAATCTGGCTACACATCAGAAATTACCTGAGAAGGGCTAGTGAGGTGGTTTAGCAGGTAAAGTCATTTGCCACCAAACCTGACTGAGTGTGATCCCTGGACCCACATGCAAGAAGGAAACAACTGACTCCTACAAGTTGTCCTCTGACCTCCCCATGTGTGCCATGGCACATGCATGTGTGGGTGCACACACATACACAAAGATACATACAAAATAAATAAGTACATAAATGTAATTTTTAAATTAGCAAAAAAGGAACTACCAAAGGAACTTAAAAAGTCTCAATGTGTATCTCACACCAAAGACCAATGAAACCAGAATCTCTCAGAACAGGACCCAGACATCAGTATTAAAAATTCTCCAGGTGATTCCAATATGAGCCAGTCATCTCCAGAACTGAGACTCAGGAAAAACTGGCAGAGCAAAGACAGAAAAGAGAAAGGAGGAGGGGAGGAGAAAGGAGAAAGAGAATCTATGGAAGTGGATGAACATGGAAATCCCTAAACTGCTTGCTTCTGAGATGCTTCTGGAAAATCTGGTGAGTAAAACAGTGGGTCTGCCTTCCACCAGACTTGAAGAGCCCGAGAGGCACATTTGATATGTGTGCTCTCCATGATCTGGGTAATAAGGGTGCAGTTCAGAGCTATGTTCTAGTGGCTCAGAATGGCAGGTGGTGCTCACAGGGAATCACTCTGGGCACAGCTGCTGCTATCCACTCAGGACCCAATGATCTGACACCCAGTCAATAACCGGCTTGGTGGGTGGCAGGCAGATAGAGACCTTGCTGCTGGAGATATTTCTCTTTTCTAATAATGGGTGATAGACTTGCCCTCTGGGAATCAAAGACCAGGGACAGAGATAGGGCCCAGCTGACCCATAGATACAACAGCATCTCTAACTGACTTCAGGCCAGACACAGAAAACCCTCTCTGTGCCTTTGGGCCAGATTCTAGGGCATGGGCTTCATTTTCCTGCCAGAGACGGTGTGGGTGGGAGGAGGTATGGGAAGCGTGCCATCAGACCCTCAGGGGTTTAGTTGTCTAGCCCGGTCTCACTTCTCTAGTTCAGGCTCCAGGTCGCACCTCTCCTGGTTGTCCCCCTTCCTTTACCAATGCCTTTCTTCAGT